TATCTAATATTCTATCTAACGTTTCATTTTCCATTATCATCATTATATCATCATTATATGATAAAGATGTAGATAAAGAATTCTCTCGTATAAATGTATACAAATATGTAGTATACAAAACCTAAACGTTTGTAAACATCGTTTGACTTATTTGATATAATTTGTGTTCATTAATTAATAATTAATCATCCGATCAAACTGTTTGGTGTAATTTATAGTGTATTAGGCATAAAAAAACCTAAATCGGCTTCTAAATAACGAAGTTCTGGTGTAACTAACATAAAAAAAGTGTGTGTGTGCAATTTACACACGGCAGAAGTGACAGTTCCGAATTTTTTGTTTTTATCTTAGAAAAACCCTATTACATGTTGACCGGCCTGGGAATAAAACCCACTAAGGCAGTGTTTTTCAAATTCCACGCGAACGGGTACCAGCTAGTATTGAATAAAAAGATAAAAATATTCACACTGTCAAAATATAATATTAAAAATAATGTGTAATGTATTCCATCTCATTCTCTCGCCGACTTAGTCCTATACATTTATGTGTTTGTTTCTTTATCGTGAAGCATTTTCGTTTCACCGAGTTTCAAATCAAACGATTCTAAAGAAGTTTCGCTTAAAAAATAAAAACGAATTGTGTGAAAAGTTGGTTCATTACAAAATGTTGGCAATTACACTCTGCAAGATTTTATTTTTCTGTACGTTTTCCTTAAGCCATAACGAGGCAGGTATAAGAAGTTGTTTTAATGAGAACATCTGTGTTTACCTGTTATACTCATAAGCATATCAAAATTTCCACAATTTGAGAAACGCTAATAAGTTAAAATTTACTAGGTGTAATACATATCTGATAGGAGGCATAACACATATATAAAGTGAGTTCGTTTGTTTGTTACTTTTTGACACATAAACCACGAAACCTTTTTTTGAAATGAAACTAACGTTCACAAACCTAAATTACCTATTTCCAATACAGACGGAGATAAAGGCCCTCGACCCACTTATTCCTAAACGATTTATTACATTTACATAATGTTCCAAGAAACGGCCTGTTTACATCTTGGAGTGAGACACTTTTGTTTAAGTGTAATGAAAAGGAATATTATCTGTTTGTTCTGTGCCTTTTTAATATTTTACAGGTGTTCTTTAAATGTGTTTCTCATTGTCTGATGTACGTATAATTTTTCTTTCTTAAGAATTGTTCCTTAATCCATACTTATATCATATATGTGAAAGTGAGTTTGTTTGTTTGTTGAGTTTTCACGCCTAAATCAATACAAAAGGAGAAGCCCACAATATTAGCTTTTTTCCGCGGCTCCGCCCGCGCGTATGTCGGTTATCACGGTAAAAATTAGCCTATAGTAACATAGGCTAATTTTTACCGCTTGTAGAAATCACTTCAATTTTTTTTTTTTTTTTTAAGTTCTGTTTCGTGGTTTAGGTGTGAAATTGCCTCACCAGGGACTTCCTTTCTAGGGTATACCTGGTATATTAGTACCCGAGACGGCGTGCGGTTTTAGTCGGTTCGAGTCCGCCATGCCACCGACAGGTGGTATCCGAGGGGATTTCCGCACGGAAAAAAAAAGGTGTGAAATTGCCTACTGCCATTGCCTAATGGTCTTAGACCATTAGGCAATGGCAATAGGCAATGCATCAATGTTTTCATAAATGTGTAACTGTCCATGCATATGCAATGTAATTTAAGGGGGCAATAATATAATGTGTAAACGTACTAAGTTTGAACAGAAGCCGTCAAATATACATATATTCATACAAGACACAGTGTCATATACTGGTGCGATTAAAAAAAATGACTGCCATAAACATATGCGTACGATTAGGTATGTGAAAGAAATTAAATGCTCAGTACAGCCGTTCTAAAGTCATTCGTACTTATTTTGAATAGTATTAGATGTAAAAAATTATAACAAAAAGGCGGATGTGTCGGTTAATTGCAGACTGACCTCGTCATATTTGCAAGGTCTACTTGTCCTACTGGCTCAGTAAAATCAATACAATAGATGACATTCGAAAATAAAACTTATTGAACACACAATAAATTATAATTACGAACGTTTTTCATAATTAAAATATGTTAAATTTTAAATTTAAAAACAATAGCATAAATTATAATTTATGGACAAAATAAAAAAATAAATTAAACAAATAATTAAAAGTTTTATATTTTATGTTGTTTTCATTTTAAACTCACACACCGTCGTCGTCTGATTCCAAACAAAAAACAAATCTTATACCTACAAATGTAATCAGACGGTGTTTTTCCATTAAATGATATTTGCTTGTCCGTGTGGTGGGTCATACAGCAGTGGACTATTAAAGGCTATTGCTAATAAAGATAATATTTGTTCAGAGTAGAAATCAAACACACGACCTATAGTTCAGCAGTCAGAATTACTAATCTTAAGTAAATAGATCAACTAGGCTTGTCAAAATGAATTGCCTTACATACTCATCAACGCATATTTGTCAAATATTAGATTAACTTTCTCATTAAGACAAAAAAAGTCAGATCCATTCAAAAATCCATCACACAAAAGAAGATCTATCAATTACGCAGATGCCAGCTATCCTGACCTCGCCGAGGACCCCTCAGCGAGGTCTGGACAACGCCCGCACTAGTAATATAATCCTGTGTCGCGGGGGACTTTTACAAACACACATGTAATGGACACAAAGAACACCCAGAATCAGAACAACAATTTGTTGATCACACAAAGTGTAGTCCTATGTGAGGATCGCATCCACAACACTCAATGCAGACCTTGTAATGTCAGGTCCTCCACGAATCGACACCACGCCTAACCAAGCCCTATCCCGGGGAAGCTGCAACCTTCGCTCTCTCAATCGCGGCGTGGCGGCCCGATCGCATCTTAATGCGATAAGGCCGTCATCCTATCTCCCACCCCAGCAATTAATCTGCAACAAGAGGTAGCCCAAACAATTAATAGCTCTCTGGCAGCCCACGACCCTTATAGTCATATCTATAATCTAGATCAGCATCAGGATACATATATCTAAAGTGTCTTTAGGGAAAAGAAAGCTTGAAGTTTCAAAGTGAAGTAAATTTCTCCAAGAAACCAGATGTTTTTTTACTTTGAATTCCGTTTGTAACTTTTATAGAAAACTGAATATTGAAAGTATGATTTAAAGTTTTTTGCAGTTTATTTAGGGCACGATTCCAGAGGTTTTGATTAACTTCAATCGAGAAAAATAAATTGTGTAAATGACTTTCAATGTGTCCTACTCCACATAAAACATAAAAAATAAATGTAGTTTTTAGTTAAGATTTAATTAACGTTTTGATGTAGCATTTTAAAATTATTTATCTTAAATATAAAATTCTCGTGTCACAATGTTAGTTACCATATCCTCCGCAACGGCTGGACCGATTTTTATGAAATTTTGTGTGCACATCGGGTAGGTCTGAGAATCGGCTAACATCTATTTTTGACAAGAGTGACCAACCCCTAATTTTTTTTTCAATATTTCCTAGAAATAATGTATCTGGCAAAACAACGTTTTCCGGGTCAGCTAGTCTTCACATATTACTTGCCCTGATTGATTCATCAACGCAGAGCCTAAACTAAGGGGGTTACAAACCTGACATTTTAGCAGCTGATGCTTTTTATGTTGTTAACACAAACTAAGAAACGAATTTTTGGAAATTTCACCTCTAAGGCGGTAAAATATGGGATGAACGGTTGCATAGAAGTTCGGTATTTACCATGTAAGAAACACGAAATAAGAAAGTATCAAGCGAGTGAAGCCTCGCTCAAAATATCCAAAAGGATTTGGATAAGAAAATAAGTCTATTTTTACAACCTTTTTATTAACTTACAATGTACGTAACTATGTTTGTTCGGGGGGAATCTTGCCGGCGAGCGCATTGAGAAGCGCGCTCGCTTTCAGGGAGCAGAGGGCACATGGGGTTCCCACACGGGGGGGGGGGGGTCGTCTACTCGTCTCTAGATGGCCCGAGGTATGTCGGGGCACCAGGGACTTCCTTTCTAGGGTATATCTGGTTCCCCGGCTATTAGTACCCGAGACGGCGTGCGGTTTTAGTCGGTTCGAGTCCGACATGCCACCGATAGGTGGTATCCAAGGGGATTTCCGCACGGAAAAAAAAACAAAGGGGGGAATCTTGCAACTAAATTTTAAAGTAGATATCTTCAACTAATTGAGCTGAAATTTTGTGTACACGTTAAGTTTGAATGATGGATGCATGGTTAGCTGTATGACGTCTAAATCCAACATGGCGGAACACCCAAGATGGCGGTCTAGTTTTAATGCACTCCTACAATATAGGTATCAAATAAAAGGGTTTGCTGAGAATAACTAAAAAAAAGCTTGTTTTTTTTAAAGTTCTTTTTACAAGTTTTTAAAATCAGTACATATATACGAGTATACGTATATACAAAGGCTAACATAGAGTATAATTGAATTAAATAGGTAATATATACGCATAGAACCTCTCTCACAGTTACGTCCTCAACCAACGGTAAAAAGAACTTAGTGTAATCAAAATTTATAAAATGAATACTGCAAATTAGTTAATGAATCCACATACAACTGTAGATTTAGTGGAATGCTAATCGCTTTAAGGCCAATCGTTCCAATCGTTCATTAAAATGCACAACATTAATTATTAAATAGGAAATACATATTCTTATAGAACAAATTTGTATTCTAACTAAATAGTATAGTGTTCATAATTGCTTGGATATTGACAAAATAAACAATTTATTAAAACAAAACAAAGAAAAAACACTTTATGAATATGTATAGGAACTTACAAACCCTCGATTTTAATTTAATCATTATTTTTGACGGTCTAGTGGTTAGTGACCCTGACTGTTAAGCCGGAGGTCGTGGGTTCGATACCCACCTACTACAAATATTGTGTGATGAGCACGGTCATTTGTTCTGTGTCTAGGTGTAATTTATCTATAATATGTATGTATTTAGAAATATTTAAGTAGATGTAAATTTAGATGTAGACGTTGGCGTTGTGTGAATGTGGTAGAATATTATTATTTAGAAATATTTAAGTATGTTTATCAGCAGTCTGGTTACCATAGCACAGGCTCTGCCTAGTTTGGGATCAGACAGCCGTGTGTGAGATGTGTAAAGTTATTATTACTATTATTTCCATTATTCACCCAGTCTTTGTAAATTAAAGTTTACCATAATTTGAAAGTATAATACACCTGTCGATCTGCCTTTATTTATTACGCCTCATAATAATAATAATATTGTACCACATTCACACAACGCCATCTAGTCCCAAACTAAGCAGAGCTTGTACTATGGGTACGAGAAAACTGATACATATACATTTTTTTTGTAAATACATAAATATTATGCATAGGATTGAACTATTCATCAGATCATTATCAACTTCGTAGTAAGTATAACTATGCGGTTTGCAGATATAGTATTTTTAAGAAAGGATGCAGTATTACTGCATATACTATATGCAGTAGTACTAGGACAAGATTTCTACTGAGTAAACTTGTTTAATGAAATAGAAACTCTTGTTCTCAAGAAATAAAGTGCAATTTAGGTCGCACAACGTTAATCACGTGTAGTTACACCAAGGCAGAAGGTGTCTTGCTTTCGCAAAATAAACGTGTTCGAGCCCTTTCACATGCAAGATCCTTGTTTAACAATGTTTGGTTCACTCGACTCATTTTAATCAGAAACACTAAGTATTAAGGTCACAAAAAAATTCATACTAGAAATAATTTCCGTAAAGTTGCTTTTT